TGAAAACCTCAAGGTATGATGTTTGGATAATGTCATTTCCCCCAGTTCAGTGTCGGGCAACTTCCCCTAAAGTGTATAATTATAAATTAGATGTTAGGAAACACAGTCTAATAAAAGAGATTTTTCGACATATTATAATGATAGTTCAAGTTGATTTTTTTTTAAATGACATACATCTTCTCTTCTGTATCTTTTTTTGAAAGACATATTATATTTTAAAACCACAAACCATAAGTTTGGGTATGTAGGTAGGTGTAGGCTGGTTGAGCTCTGTGCTGGGTCCCTGGATATCCCATAAGCAGAAAGGCTGTGGGGTTCACAGAAGAGACACTTCCATGTTGCACCCTTGGTTATGTAGGTTTATAACTCAGGGAATAAAAGTTACTCTTCCAGCCAGGCTCGGTGGCTCAGCCTGTAATCCTGCGCCTTTGGGAGGCTGAGGTGAGTGGATTGCCTGAGCCCGCGGGTTCGAGACCCACCTGGGCAACTTGGCGAGACCTCCTCTCTACAATAAGTCAAAAATTAACTGGGCATGGTAGCGCGTGCCTGTAGTTCGAGCTACTTGGAAGGCTGAGGTGGAAGGATCGCCGGAGCCCAGCAGGTTGAGGCTGCGGTGGCCAGGAGCAGTCACTGCACTCCCGTCTGGGCGACAGAGTGAGACTCCAACTCAAAAAAAAAAAAAGTTACTCTTCCAATTTTTATTTTTGAGTTGGAATCTCACTCCATTGCCCAGGCTGGAGTGTGCAGTGGCATGCTCATGGCCACCCCAGCGTCGAGCTGCTGGGTTCAGTGCTGGGATTACAGATTTCAGCCACCACGCCTGGACACTTTAAATGCTATCTCAGTTGCTAAAAACTGGGTCAGCCCCAGGAAAATTTAAAAGGAAAAAAAAATAAGAAACAAACTTCTGGAACTCTGTAAGATATAAGGTAAGTTAGAAAGTGGAAGAGTGGCTGGGCTCGGTGGCTCAGCCTGTAATCTGGCGCTTTGGAAGGCTGAGGTGAGTGAATTGCCTGACCCCGCGGGTTCGAGACCCTCCCAGGCAACTTGGCAAATAAAATAATAAAATAAAATAGAAATAGTGTATAAGCACTCTTTGTGAAATTGAAAGTGACGGATGCCTGTAGTTTTATCTGTTTTCATTTATTGTACTTGACTAGTGAGACAGTGATAACTTGATGATGTTTGCAAAAATGCTCAAGATAAAAGCCATTAAAATGTGGAAATAGGTTGGGCATGGTGGCTCAGCCTGTAATCCAAGCGCTTTGGAAGACTGAGGCGAGAGGATTGTTTGAGATCCACTAAGGCAACTTGATGAGATCTCGTCTCTACAGTAAATCACAAAAACTAGCCAGGCGTGGTAGTGTGCGTCTATAGTTCCAGCTGAGGTGGAAGTATCGCCTAAGCCCAGCAGGTCGAGGCTGCGGTGGCCGGGAGCATACCACTACACTCCAGCCTGGGCTACAAGAGTGAGACTCCAGCTCAAAAAAAAAAAATGTGGAAATAACAGGTTTCTTGGGCTTCTAAAGTGAGCTTTAAGACCCAGAGTTTCTGAAGCACAGGTAGGTAGGTTTCTGATTCTTAGTGGTCACTGGGGCTTCACACCATCCACAGGTCTCATAAGCTTGCAACCAGCCAGGCACTCACAAGTCTATGTCCCGGGCTCTGCCCCTCCATCTGCAGCATGAACACTGGTACAGACACTGGGCACCCCGCCCAGTGATGTAGTCTGTTGTTGACCTATCTAGTCTAGGCAGCAGACACTCTCTGGCCCTTATCTTGTTCATCGAGAGATTTTAAAATATCTCACATCTGTGTATAATCCTTTGATTCTGTTACCCACGTGACACCTGCCAATTCAGCCATCAGTAACATTTGCTCTTCACCTTCTGATCAGTATCACAGACCTTATAATGTTCCATGCTAGGTTTAGGTAGCACTCCAGGGCTACTCTGCTCTGCTTCTACAGCAGTGGTGATTTCCTGTGCACCCAAGCCACTCTGTAGGAAGCTTATTAATATATCATATAAGAGTATGGAGAGGCTTGTGTGTGGACTGCTAAGCCCCTGGAGTGCTGAGTGCTTCTGTGGGTTGGGAAGGTATTTAAAAGGAGAGAAGGCATTTTCTCAGAGCATCCTCTGGAAGGGCCTGGCTGTACATTCTTACTTGGATCCAGCACTTCATCCAGGTATGCCAACCAGAATGGTCCTCCAAGCAAGATGAGCTTGAGGGCTGCTGCCTCCAGCTTCAGTCAAGCCAACAGGGCTGCAGGGAGGCAAAGCCAGAAACCGACTGTTTCCTTTATATAGAGGTCAAGGGGATGCCCACTTTTCAGGGAACGAGAGCCCAGAGACTTGGAGCTAGCCTGAATGCATTTTCCTGTATGACTGAAGTTATCCCAGCCATTCTCAGATGGAGGACAAGAGCCTAGGATTTTAGACTCAGCATGTCTACCTTATAAATGCTATATATGGTGTGAAACTTTCCAGGACTAATGAGAGTCAGAAATGTGTCTATGTAGTTGGAGTCCACTTAAGAAAATCTGTTACAGTTAAGGCCTTTTCTAGCCCATTGATGAAAGCCCCTTTACAGTCATTTAATAATGGCAGGGTTATACTAGTGCTTCAACACGTTCCTGCAGGACAGCTAGCGAGTGTCAAGATTGTGTACACAATGAGTAAAACACTGCCTGCTGGTGCTAATCACACAGAACAAAGAAGGAAGGAACCCTGTCCAGCCCTTAAAACTCTTAGAGACCACTGTGATCTAGGACACTGAGGTGCAGCCTAACTGTGATCACAAGCCCAGAAACAACTTGAGGGCACAATGAATCCCAGTCTAGAAGTCATGCTGCCTTCTCTGTGCAATTGGGTGAACTTATTAGTTATGCAAAGGCCCTTAGCAAGGGTTTATGTCTTTTGTAGATTATGGCCTAGAAAAGAAAAGGCAGAATGTGATGTTTTAGGGCCATTTTGGTGTCTGGGCACAATTCCAAACTTGAACGGAAATAAAACATACAAGGTTCTGTACATTATTCTCTGTAGGTAACAATGCAGTGGACCAGATTTGCTATTAATATAGATTAAAAGTAGGCTTTTGAGTCAGATTCAATTCCTCTTCCAATTTCCCTTCTGATCTTCTTATACATAACATTTAGTGACCTTTGAACAGCCCAGGGATGCTTCACAGTGCCTTATTCTTGATGCCTGTTTAAAGGTTTCTATTTCATATTCACAGCTGGCATATGCAAATATAGGTAAAGATTATGATGCCTCCCAAGGAGCATTATGGCCAATAAATTACTCCTTGGGTGAACATGCTATCATTTCAACCTAGCATGTCTTCAGTGAGTTGCAGAAGTCTTCCAACAGGCAGCCTGCTGGTGCCCTGCACACTGAGCTGGCTCCCCAGATACTCCTCCATTCAAACGTGACACTTAACCAGGGCTCATAATGTTGGCAAATGAGCTCTCTGTCAGTGCTAAAGGGCTCCCATTGCTGGGGGTGAGATGGGGGAATTGTGGGAGATTTCTTTGTGTGGGTGTTTTAGGGGGTAGAATCTGAAAGAAACACTGTAATGTAGGGGGTTGCACATGTTCATTCAAGAGTTGATGAGACTTGGTCTGTATCCTGACTCTAAGTAAATTACTCTAAGTGTGATCTTGGATAAGTCACTTATCTTCTCAAGGCTCTGTTTTCCTTTGTAAAATGGAAGAATTGTACTGAGGTCAGTAGTTTCCACAAGCATTTTCATTGTAATTGTTTGAACAATGGAAACTTTTCTCAACTAAATTCTCAGGTAACCCTGGGCAGAGTTGTTTGAGGGGAAAGAAGGATCTCAGTGCCTTCACAGCTTAGTCCCCTTGCAACTGCCCTGGAGGCAGTTGTTTTTTGTTGTTGTTTATTTATTTAGGGTTTGGGTCTCACTGTGTCATCCAGACTGGAGTGCAGTGGCACGATCACAACAACCATGACTCATGGCAGCCTCGTCCTCCTGGGCTCTATTCCGCCTCAGCTTTCTGAGTAGCTGGGACTACAGACGTGTGCCACTACACTTGCCTAATTTTTTAAATATATTTTTTTTTTTAGAGTCAGGGGTTCTCTATGTTGCCCAGGCTGGTCTTGAACTTCAGGGCTCAAGCAATCCACCCATCTCGGCCTCCCAAAATACTGGAATTACAGGTGTGAGCCAAAGCATCCTGCCTGGAAGCAGTTTTTACATTGCTGAATTGAGGGTCTGTAAGGCCCTGCAGGATTCCTTGAGGGTAGCTGTCTGAAAGGGTCCCTGCCCTATGCCTTAGCCCCTGAACAGTGAGGGTTCACTGTACTGGAGGGGAGCCCCATGAGTCCAGGAAACATGTTTTTTTGTTCACCACCGTATGCCCAGTATTGGAAAATAGTAAGTGCTCAATAAGTTAACTGGAGCAACAAATAAACACACGAACAAATGAGCTTAGGAAGACCTCTCTCTAGATTACTATAAGTAGGGATTTGTATTGCAATATATTTACCTAGAAGGAGGTACTTCCCCCAAATCAGCACTCAGAAGTCTAAATAAGTGATCACTTTAAGATTTTTTTCTTCAGTAACTTAGCCCATGCTGCCTCTTCAGTAGCCACTGGCCTTTGAAATGGGACAAGTCTGAATGAAGACATGCCATGTCGAACACGCCAAATTTTGAAGATGTAGAAAGGAAAAAAAAGAATATAAAGTATCTCATTAATGATGTTTTTATTGATTACAAATTGAAATAGTAATGTATTGGGTTAAATAAAACATATTATGAAAGTTGACTTCACCTGTTGTCTCTTGCCAATGTGACTGCTAGAAGATTTTTAATTATATATGGGCTCACATCATGGTTCACATATCTATCGGATAGTACTGCCCTCAACAGTTGATTAATGGATCATCAGTAATTACTCTTCTGTGTTATGTTTGAATGGGTTTTTTTGTTTGTTTGTTTTTATTTGTTTGTTTGTTTTTCTTGTGTCTCCCCAGGCACAGAAGCTGAAATCCAATGTTTCGGGCAGCACACACCTCTGTCTTTCTGATGTAAGTTATGTTTCTTTTGGGGGCTTCCTGCATTTACAGGGACATAGCCTTTGGGCCCCTAGGGCAGGGTATTGACTCAAAGGTTCAAAGGCAATAAGACTTCAGGTCCAGAAAACATGCCCATCTTGCCCTTTGAGCAAGGTGCAGGTTCTGGATTCCAGTTAGCAAAATTAGAAGTAAGTGTGGGACCTGGGATCCTCACCTCAGAAGCAGGCCCCAGCACTGACATTGTTGTTCCAGTGCCATGAGATTCTCTGGGATCACAGACATGTAAAATCATCTGGCACGGAGAAAATACCTAGCAACTGACTGCTCACCAAATGTTCTCTAACTGCAGCGCCTCTGACCCCACAGCAGCCCAGTGGTAAATAGGGCAGGCACATTCCTCTCCCCAATTTACAGGCAAGGACCCAATAGTTCTGCTGGGTACCAACTCTAGTTGCTTATGTGGGTTGTGGCATTTGTGGGTCAGGCAGGTGCTGGTGGACCCAGGAGTCGCTCCTGGGGAAGGAGAGCTGTGCTGACTGGGAATCCAGAAGCCTGGGTTCTGATTTGGACTCTCCCACCAATGGGCAAGACAAGCTCCTGCTCTGACGCCTCATCTATAAAATCTAGGATTAAACTGGCTCGTGGAGGGAAAAGCTGCTGCCCGCTTTGCCTGTCTCTGATTCTGTTTATGACCCATCTCTGTGTGAACTGTCCCCTTGACTGGATAAGTTTCCTGAGATGGTTTTTCCTGCCCTTACTCCATCGTGGGGAGAGACAGCGAGCATTCCTCCTCAGCCAGTGGTACCCAGAAGGAGAAGGGTCTGGGGAGAAGGGGTGAAGAATGGCAAGAATATCTGAGAGTAAATATTTTCCCCCCAATGGATTTTAATATTTGGCTGTAAATCAAACTGGGCTCATGTTTTTCATGATGATGAGGAGGAGGAGAATGATTTTAATAAATGTTAAACACTTTATCAAGAGTCCAGTTCTCACCCATGTTCAAGTCAGTGAATGAAAGTCTCAGTGCAAAGGTCAGTTTTGGCGAGTGGGTTAGCGAGTTGGGAGTGGGAAGGAGGGAGAGAAAGAGTGTGGTTAAAATCTACTGGGATAGAATGAATACAAGCAGTATGTGATAACGAAACCATTCTTTCTTACAGCATGATTATGAAAAGGATGGTCTTGGTGCTTCCAGCCACATAACCACAAAATCAATGGCTGCTCCTCCAAGCTGCAATCTGAGCCCACTACTGGTTCTGGTGGTAACTGCTCTGTCCACCCTATTTTCTTTATCTTTGGCAGAAACATCGTAGCTGCATTAAACACCAACAACAACAACAACAACAACAACAAACAGTATGGACATGTACAAAGACAAAAACCAAGTTATCTGTTTCCTGTCCTCTTGTATATCTGAAATTCCAGTTTTAGGAGCTCAGTTGAGAACCAGTTCCTCCCAACTGGAATTTTCTTTTTCTTTCTTTCTTTCTTTTTTTTTTTTTTATTTTAAGAAAGCTTCTTGTGATCCTTAGGGGCTTTTGTGGAAAATCTGATGCAATGCTACATTCCAAACTCAGAAGGCTTTGTGACATGCTGTATTTTAAAGGGTCAGTTTGTAAATTTGACTTTAAAGCAAACTGGGGTCATGTTTTTCATGATGATGAGGAGGAGGAGAATGATTTTAGTAGTTTTACTTCTGGCCTTTACTAGCCAGAGAAGAAGTTAATATTTCTAAAGAATCTTCTATATCTCATGTAATGGCTTTGATTTCTAATGACATAAACTGCAGTCTGACACGAACGCCAAGCTTTTTGTGCCACAAAGCGAAGGTTCTCATCAAGAGAGAACCTTGTGGAAACAAGCTTGTACTGATGTTCACTTTTCTATATGTACTAGCATTTTCCATGCTGATTGTTTATGTACTATAAACAGTTCTGCACTCTCCTCCCAGACAAAAAACACCTATCATATCCAAATATAGTATCTGTCTTTTAGTCAAAATAGAGAGGGGGAATGGGTGTGCAATGTCATGGTACCTCGATCACTGAGTGACACTCTCCTGATCCTAAGCCTTACCTGAGAAGTCCTTAACCTAACAAGAGTCAAATATAGCTGTCGCATTGCTCTAATACTCTTTACACTTATGAGGTTATATGTAGAAAAAAATTTTACTACTAAATGATTTCAACTATTGGCTTTCTATATTTTGAAAGTAATGATACTGTCTTCATTTTTTTACTGATGGTTTAATACAAAATACACGGAGCTTGTTTTACCCTCATAAGTAGTGTTAGCTCCAACATTAACTTCACAAATACAGCTCTTCCAAAGCAGACTCTGAGGAGCCTCGTGCTTTCGCAGAAAGCTCTGCATCACGTTACTGTGGACAGGCAGAAGGAAACAGAGCAGTCAAGCATTGTCTTTTATCATTTCTTGAAATGCAAGAGTACATACCTGTGAGGAGAACTGGTGGCTACTTGTAAATGTTCTACAGTCTTTAATGGCACCCTTGCCATTGACACACTCTAGTACTTTGGATTTCAGGTTACCTGACAAAGACAGCTTTGACTAGGATGGGGGACAAGGACATACTGGCCTTTCTTTTGAAGCAGTTCCATGCCAGGGTACACAGTTTTTTCCTAAGAACTGTCTTTACTCCTGACTGCGATGTCTTGGCCGTTGTTTAGAGCAGTTTGGTCTGAAGGTCATCAAGAATCTGCTTGCATCTTTGTTCTGTGTCCTTCATGACAGACTGTGACTGACTATGTGAAAAAGAAGGAAGGCTTTTGGATCAAGCGGGTCAACATTTGATTGGTCTGGGTTAGAAGGAAAGATTCAGAACCTATGATGATGGAGTACTAGTGGCCATATTTCTGCAAAACTGAGTGACAAGGAGGAGACTCTACCTTAATAGAGAGTTAGGGAGCATTAGCTTTCTTCCCCCATGGTAGAGGGGATGGAGGAGAAAACCTGGGGTGCACATTTCTACTGATCCCCTTTGCCTGCTGATATTTGCCTTGTAAGATTAATCAAATTACTAGGGGGAGGAGATATATAAAATCCAAGATAAAGGCATTGTCTTTTAGCTCTATGGGTGTTCAAAGTATATTTATATCTAAATGTTAATAAACGCAAATGTACAACACTCAGAACTGACTTTTTTCAGTTCAAAATGTTCTCAAGGGAAATTCATCAGACACCCAAATGTATTTGATTAGTGAAAAGTTCCATAAAGACTCTTACACTGAATAAACACATTAAATGTGTCGAAATATTTGGCATGCCAGTTATCTATCAGAGCATATCTTTTACAGAGCATATTTTATTTTAATTAAGGTATCTCTGTGTATCTACACTGGGCTAATTGCACATGGATCTGGTTCTATGTGATCCACTATAGAAAGCTATTGATTACTTCTGCAGTAAACGGCAGCTCTAATTAGCTTCAGATGACCACAGAGGAAATGGGAGTTTTCAGTGCTAACAAGGGCAGCCTTCACTGAAGAATGCGTGGATATGCAACACATAAATGAAATTTTGAAAAGCCTCATCTATCACTAACAAAGATCTCATTTTTCTTTGGCAATAAAAGCATATTTAAATGACCAAATCCTCCATTTGAAAATAAGTTGCTGATTAAATAAACAGGGAGACAGTACATTAGAGAGATTCTTAGAAAAGCAAGCCAAGCAAGGTTTCTGCCACTCAGTGTGATCTCAGTTTAACATGGTGACCTGAAACACTGTCATTTGTCCCAAGACTGAAGCAGGTGACGCATTTAAATCTTTTACCTAGTCTCACTTCCTCTTGGAGTACTTAAAAGCAAAAAATTTCACTACTTTCTGTCCATCAGTCCAGATACTTGGGGTGCTACTGAATACAGGGCCTATCTGCTGAAGTTTGGGTCTCTCGTAGGAAGTATCTCATTGTAATTAATTTTGACAAAACAAAACAGTAACTGAGGTCTATGCAGACCATGACACCCTGATCAAGTCTAGCCATGCCCTACTTATTTCAGAGAGAAAAGGCAGAATTGCCAAACTGATTAGAAGCACATGCACTCCACTTTGATGTTGAATATCTTTGACCAATATGTGTTTGAGTACCTTTTTAATAGAGCACATAAAGGATGAAGTGCACAATATAGAGAAGGAATTCAGAATGCCAACTAAATATTTATTTTTCCATGTCTGATTGTTTTCAAGCCTCTAATAGAAAAAGCATAAGTTGAGAATTACATAGATTATTTTTTATGAAGTATAACAAACTATCCAGAATGTAATAGGAGTGTGTTTACATTTTTTTTAACAATTCTCTATAATTTTAAAAAGTGTCATAGAAGTTGTCTTCGAGTTCATCAAATACAGGACAGGGCTTTTCCTGAGCTACTGTGGCCCCTGTTTTGCTCTGTATTGAGACTGTTCCTATCCTGCATACGTTCCGAGGATGGGCCGCTTCCAGCTGCCTCCCTCCCCACATGCCTCCTTGTCTCTAAATCAGACACTCCCAAACACTCCATCTGCTGTACTAGAGAGTGGGAGAGTGAAAGCATTTTTGAGTCAGTGTAAAGTGCCTGGGAAAAGAGATGTAAGAGCAGTGGGAGTTTATATAATTAGCAAGTTCTTTTCTTAGAATCCAGCATAAGGGTATTTCTGTTGTTATTATTTACAAAACAGTGGCCTCAGAGGAGCTGTCTTTTGAAAAATAAGTTTTCATTCATGTAATTAGACATGCACAACTTATTTAAATCAATAAACTGTGGGCCAGAAAAGGACTGCTTAAATGCATTAACATTTTCTAATTTTCTTGCAAGGTTGTTCATGATCTCCTGGATTCATACCCCCGTGTGATCTCTGTTGCTCTTGCTTCTGCTCTTTGATAAAGCAAATGAGATCACATGAGACCCATCTTTTTCAGAGATACTTAAAAGTAGTGGCAACAGACAGGAGTGAATTACCAGTGGCCTGGGCACAGTGACAGCAGAAAGGTCCATCTGAACTTGGAGCGTTTAGAGAGATGAAGCAAGATCAAGGTACACAGGAGGTCCAAGCCATGGGTAAATGAATCATGCAGTCTGTCTATGTTTCTTACCGATCAGAGTAGGAACCTTCTAACAAAACAGCCAGCATTCCTTGATCTAAGCAGCAGTTCCTTCACAGATAGAAAGTCAGAGCTAATATCTGGATGACAGAAGAAGGGATTTCTTTTTAGAAATTCCAAAATAAAACAGCTGGGGATTTGGTTGGATGCCCTTAGAAGTTACATTTTTCTCTCATTCCTAAGATAGATATCTCATGTGTATATCTGACACCTCTTGACTTTGATACAGCTTTGCCTCTCAAGTGACCATTTGTTTTAAGTCTGTTGTCTAAAATTCTTCGTGAGGACTGCACCTGTGAAAAATATTCTCAACTGCAGAGGCCTTAAATCTGTGACTTTTGCCAATGCCTCCATTCTGGGATGTATTCTGTAGGACATTTCATTTTATAAGGATTGTCTTAAGCTATTGGCTGATTCCATTCTCCTTTGAATTGATTATTGATGCCTCTACCCCCACCTTGTTCTTTATTGCCTGGGTATTTACAAGGTCCCTTCCCATCAATTTTCATCCTAATCCCTCTAAATGTAGTTTTACTCAAATTAATTCTGTCAGATGCCCTCTCCCCACCTTTAAGATAGAGAAGCCTCTCTCAGGAGCCAAATGGGAAGTTCCTCTACCACCCCTCCTCTGAGCTCCTTCTTCTTAGCTTTGGGATTTTTTTTTTTTTTTTTTAGTTGGAGTCTCACTCTGTCACCCAGACTGGAGTGCAGTGGCCACTCCCGGCCACCGCAGCTTCGACCTGCTGGGCTCCGGCGATCCTTCCACCTCAGCCTTCCAAGTAGCTGGAATTACAGGTGCGTGCTACCACGCCCGGCTACTTTTTGACTTATTGTAGAGATGAGGTCTTGCCAAGTTGCCCAGGCGGGTCTCGAACCCGCGGGCTCAGACAATCCACTCACCTCAGCCTCCCAAAGCGCTGGGATTACAGGCTGAGCCACTGAGCCCGGCAGCTTTGGGATTATTTTATCCTCAACAGGAATCCCTGTGTTGCTCCCAGTATCTCTGATGAGCTTCTCCTCTCTCCCAGAGACAATGCCGGGATAGTTGTTTAGCAGGATGCGCCACCTGCACTTCTGATTGTTCTGAGACCCAGCCCAGAGGGGTGGGGAAGGCGCACAAACCTGATTTCAATAAACTGCCTGCAGAGAAGCGCAGCCTGCTAATAGTCATGGAGGCCTCAGCCCCCTAAGGTCTCCAAGCTCATTTGACCAACACAGCTGCGACTTCGGCTGTCTGCCTCTGGCAGGTGCCAATATCAACATCTTGTCCCACTGCCATCGGGAGTTTATTTTTGCTCAAGGGCAGCTGCCAAACCCAGCACCAGCATCAATAGAAAGTTTTCTCTGATTTTCTTCTCTTCATCTCAGACTGGGCCTTCTTACCAGTCTCTGTTTTTGTTTTGTAGAGTGCCAGAAGACTGGCCAGAGATCTCTAATCTCTTCCTAGTTTTAACATCTCCTCTTCCTGCTCACCCCACCCTCCCCAGCAGAAAGTATGACCAATAGCAGATACCTGGAAAATGCTGATTGAATGATAAACTATGGGACATGGAAGGACTTTATACTGTCATACAATGGCAAGAACTGGCCTATTTACATAGTCTTACCAGCATTGAGCTGAATTTGTTCTCCTGAGATGATTGAGGGTGACCTGGGAGAGAGAGGATCTAGGAAAGCATTGGGATCGAAGTAACTTTCAACTTGCCCACTGTGTTCCCTGATGAGAGACAAAAAACTAGCACTTGCCCCAGGAAGCACTAAACATGACCAGCCAGTCCCAACAGTCTCACTGCATCTACAGAAAGGGCAGAACCCCAAATGGGGTGGACTTTGTGGGAAATTATCCAGTGGGTCTGCTGAGATTTTAATCTGCTGGAAGCACAGGATACTGGCTAGAAAGGTGGACTGTCCCCAATCCTAGACCAACCCCAGGATGACAACCTCTCCATCAGTGTCCTGAGAAGCAAAGTCGAATGCGTATCAATTCGTTGAATGAGTACTCTGGCTGAATGAACCATCATTTGGAGCTGAAACTCCCCTCAAAATAACTTAAGAATGTAGGGCCTTCTGACAGGAGCTTAGGAAAACACTCATCTTTTCTAGACTGGCAGAATCCTTCAGTTTGACATTCCTCAGAAGCTCTATAGTCTCTGTAGAAATAGTTTGTGAAACTGTTTTTCA